AGCTCTCTATCAGTCCCCTCTATTACATAGAAAGGGAAGAGGCAGGTATTGCTTCTCTAAGTACATGGTTGGATTTTCTTCCCTGCTTCCCCAGGTATTTTGCATCTTGCAAGAAAACCTTTGGAATTTAAAGTGTGTTTATGTCAGATACTCATTTGCTTGCACTTGATAAATGGGGATCCCTGGATTTTCCTAGCCTACACTAATTTTCGGACTGTACCATTCCAGGTTGTATGATCTTGAGTCAGTCATTCAGTTCTGTTTCTCAGTTTCCTGATGAATAAAATGGAACTAATAGGAGTATTTACCTTAAAGGGATGGGGTTAGAACTAAGCAAATGTACAGACTTGGAAGATTGGCATACAATAAGCCTTGAGAAGAAGTTAAGCATTATCGTTATCATTACTATTCATTATCTAATGTATTAGTTATATTCTATTTACTTAAAAATTGTGTGATTGGTACTCTGTTTAATTTATAGGGCAATTAAAATTGTCAGGGGTATAGCTCAGTGGTGCCACAGTTGTCTTGCTAGTCCAAGGTCCTGAGTTTGATCCCTGGTACCAGAAAAAAAATTATAAAGCATAATTTCATAACTGCCCTAGAAATTTATTTTCTTTGCTGTGTATAATTTCCTTGAAAGAAATTCTTCCTTTAAATAGATATGTTTGAATTCATTATTCTTATGTTTATAAATATCTGATTTAAACTTTTAGCCCTTGAGAAGTAATTGTAGGCAATTAAAAACTGAACATTATATTTTTAGTTGGTCTCAATCAAAGATCCTGTGTGTGGAACTAAACCAATGTGTAGAATATACACTAATTAAAGTTTAACAACATTTCTATTAGGAGAGTACTAGGTGTAGGTACATGGTATAATTATTTTTATAAATATAAATGACTTCCAGAATTTAAGTTAGTGAATATATATTTTGTTGTTTTATCAGGTAATAGAATGTCATTCAAGAAGTAAATAGCTGCTACTTAAACAATTCTCTCAATGTATAGTTTTGAATACATTGCTAAGATTTTTATCCCAGAATTTTGTCCCATTTTACATAATGTGGGGTGAGGTTTTGAATCTTAAAGTCATTCAATATAAGTTTCTTTGAAAAATCATAGCTATTCCTCTGTTTTTGAAAACACTACAGCAGTCAACTTACCTAGAATTGTGGAGGAGAGCAAATAATAACTGGAATACGTACCACGGGAAATGCACAAGATAAGACCGAATATGTTTAGGACAAGTGGAGTGAATTCTGCACTGGCAACAGCTGTCATGTCAAAAGCTGGTGTCTTTTGTGTAGCAACTGAGATAAGATAATTCGGAAAGAGAGCAACTGTACCCAAGTAGAAAGAACAGTTTAATAAATAGTAGCGTATTTACCCTGAAAATCCTATGCAACCATTAATGATAATTTTTTAAGAATATTCATTAACTTGGGAAATATTTATCACATGCTAAATCATACAAGCCATCCATAAATCAGCATTTTGGTTGGTATGGAACCACACCGCACAAAACATGCTTTCTGTCAACATTATCCAAACTTATTAACAAGGTAATAAACTTAATGAATGCTGGAGGCAGACATTGTGCAGAACACATCTTATACACGATTTTCATATTCTTCACTAAAGCCTTCCTAAGTAGAAATGATATTCTCAGTTTACAGATGATGAAACTGAGGTTTCCAAAGACAATTTATCTATAGGTACAGCTGAAAGTCCTCTCACTGTATCTAATTTCCAATCCATGATTTTAATAGTTATGCTGAAATTGCTAACTTACCTTCAAACTTTACATTTACTTTGCACATAGTGATCTAGGCCACAAAAATAATTTTGATCACAGCGAAGTGAAGACTGCCCATACATGGCAACATATTTAAGTTTATCAGAAATATAAACAGTCAGCATGAAACTGATAAATACACTATAGGCTTTTGTTTGGAAGACTGAGACTATAATCATTAGAAGCATCTACAAGTACGAGTACAGAATTTCCAAAACCAAATAAAATTGTCCTGAGATTAAAATATTTCTGTTATGTAGCTCAACTTCTCCTATCCACTTGGGGCCATGTGCCATTTCCCCTCTGCCAGCATTGACACCGCATTGTTGTCTGTGTTGGAACCCCAAATCCGAAGGAAGTGCTATTTATAGACCGTTAGAGAGACAAAAGAACTGGAGACAAAATGGAGATTTACAGTTAACAGCCTCCGAGCTTTCTTTGGCAAAGAGCGAGAGAAACCATCATGGTTTTATGTTTCATAACACTTGTTGGCTTCTAGAGCCAAGACTTTCCCTCCTGCGAGAGAGTGAGATGGCTTCTCAGGTCCAGCTGCCTGCCTCCTGCCTCAGTGGTGACTCACGGTGTCACTCTGATGTAAAATCAGCAATTGATCTTCATGTCACTTTCTCAGCCTCGACACTGCTGATGTCTGAGTGAGCTAATTCTAGTGGAGCTGGTAGGTGGGTGAATGTTGTAGGGTGCTCAGTAGCATCCCTGGCCTCTTCACACTAGATGCCCGTAGCGCTCCCCGCATTGGGTGAGTTTGACAAATGTCTAGATTTCAAATGTCTCCAGATGTCACCAAATGATTCCCAGGGGAGTATGCTCCAGCAGAGAATCGTAGCTCACAATGAATTCCCAAACACAGCTTTTCACACCCCTTTAAAAATAGCTTGACCTTCCTATGCTGCAGAACGGGCAGCCGCACCTATCATGTGAACTCCTCCTTCTGGCTGTGGTCGACTGGGTGAAGGTTGACACATTAAGCCAAGCCGAGCCAATGGCATTCCATCTTCTCAGAAAAGGTATTCATGACACAGTAACTGAATCAAATATAAATGGGCTCTGAACTTATACTTTCATGACAAGTGAGAGTCATACCATGGAAATAAAAAGCTTCACGCCTGTCTCTAATTCATAAGAACAAAGAAAATGAGGTGACAGCTGCCTAAAGAATTTAAGAATCCCATGAAGTTTGCCTGAATTTCCCATAAATGGTTCAGTGGGATTTCTCTATTTTCTTAAAATAACTGCTGCTTTATTTGCCCTAGCTTGTGTGTGCTTCTTTCTGTTTTTTTTTTTTTTTTGTACTGGGAATTGAACTCGGGTCCTTGTGCTTGCAAGGCAGGTGGAGGAACCATTGAGCTAAATCCCTGGCCCATCCCTTTCTAAACATCTTGGTTTATAATGAAACTACAAAACACAAGATAATCTAGAAAGTGTCCTTTCCCAAATGTGCTTCCCTCCTAGGAGGAGACTCTTCTGGGCCAAGGGTCTTAGGTCCTAAGTCTTGCTCTGTGGCCCAGTAGAAATGAATTTTTTCACTAAGTTCTAATTTCCTCATTGCAAAACTTGAAGATCAAATCACACCCACTTATAAATTATGATAAAGATGGAGAGATTTTTAGTTCCTTTGAGCCATGATCTAACTCACTTTTTGACATTCATGTATAAAATTGCCTTAAAGGTGATGGACAAGACTTGATAATAAAGTCCTTCATTCTGGGCTCAAGAATCAGTTATTCTACGACTTGCCAACCATGAGAACAAAGGGACACTATTTAACCCTTCTCAGCCTCAGGTTCTTTATGTTTGAGATTGGAGGGAAAGCATATCTGCTGGAGCAACCCCCAGTGATCCCTCTTGCTGATCAACAAGTGGTGAATTCCATACTCACACTGAATAGGGTTGACTGGAGTAATCATACAATGGTGTAGAAATCATGAAGGGCAACTTCTGAGGTTGGAAATGCAGGACATTTTGTGGGGTTTGTGTTTTTTTTTTTTTTTTTTT